TCAATAAATAATTTTTTTTCTCTCATTTTAGAATTCATCAGTGTGGATTTGAGCTACGATAGGCTCAGATCCCATGGCAGCTGTCAGACCCTGGACTCAGAGTCACAGATCTCTTTTACTGATGCAGCATAATGTTTTACTGTTGCTTAATAATGATTTTCCTTCGGTCTACAATATTACAGAGGCTGATTGTATAAATGGTCTACAGACAATAAAGGCAGATCTCTGCATCAGATTAAATGGTACTGGCACACGTGTATATATTAAACCGGTTACAGAAACTTTAAAAAATAGCACAATTTTCTAAATGTTTGCATTGAACCATTGTGAAAAAAAGGATGTATTCACATAATCCTCGTAATTGTGCAGTGCAGACTCATTAATAATGTTGAGACGGGTTTATAGACAATGGTGATAGTTGAACTTGCTCCTTCTGTTACAATGTCTTGCATGACTGCTTATTAATTTTTGTGCGCATTAAGAGAACGTCAAGGCCTAATTAAGTTACTCAACTTCTAAAGCAGTTTGGTGCTTTGGAATGACTAAACCTTTCAACCACAACCTAAATGCGAATTTTCCCTGGATGGTTTCGTTATAGACGGTCGAACCAAAACGAATTAGCGCGCTAACCACAACCGTCTAAACTCCTGTTAATATGCACATAGATAGAAAGACACATAACTACACTACTTGTGAGAATTTACACAAATCAGAAAGTATTCTATCATCTTTGGCAAAGAAATGCTTAATTCAAGCAATTTTTTTCAAATAAAATTTTTTACCCTTTTTGGAAGCAGACAGTGGATCATTTTCCAAACTTCTTTAGAAACCTTATAAAATCATTAAGGTTCTTATTTTAATAGGTATTACTAAATACAATTAAAGGATTAAAAGTTTTTCATTTTGTTATGGGAGATTAGATGTGCTAACATTACAAAACTTCAGACAAAGTGATCAGAGAGAGAAAACGGACTCACAGCGTAGCCTCCGATCAGCACCGCAGCATTGGACCGTTTCCTTTGGTCAAAGCTAGTGTAGTGAACAATTCGCTTCCTGGTCAGCGTGAATGACTGCAAAGAAACAAAAAGGATCAAACTAATGAACATTAGAAGATAAACATATGGCTTAACTGATGTTCAATTAGCATTTTAATCCCACCCCCATTCAGAAATCCTACCAACACGACATTACCAGTGATACCAACTCTATAAGCAGAGGATGAGTCGACCCTTTGAGTCGGCCTCTTTGGCATTCATGTGTTAACAAATGACCAAGTCAAAGTTGATCATTTTAAGGCAGAACTAAAACTGCAGCTGCTGAATCAGAGAAAACACTGAGCTGCGGATTCTCACAGCAGTCTGTGAAACAATTAGCTGCCACAGTTTTCTTATTAGAGGCTGCCTGATGAACCTGGTAATCATTAAGTGTGAGAAACTTCCAGAACAACACTGCCAGAGTTCTCGTTCCATCCCATTATTCCCGTTTGTTGCACATGAGGAAGGGCCACGAACCAGAACAAGTATAATGGATCAACTCATACCTCTCAGAGCTTTAAATCTGGCCTCATAAAAAAAGGTTGAACAAATCAGTATAAACCATGTATAGATTTATTAATCATTTTGTATTGTGAAATGTTAGAAAAGCCTTAATCAGGTGATATTACTTGAATAAATCAACATAAATCAATGCCTGTGGTGAAAAGAATGGTAACATGCAAACATCTATGAATCTGGAAATTAAAACACTTGAAATGTAACTTATGAATCATAATAGTTATTTGTTCTCAAACATCTAGAGGCAATAATAATCCAAGAGTCCATTAAATGAGCATTTATTTATATACATGAACACAATCACACATTTTCATTCATACAATTATTAGCCGTAGGCAACACGGCCACAATTTTGCAAAAATTATGTATATACCATTGATATTCACCTCCCCTTCTTCAATCTTATATATTGTTAAGAGGACCAGTTTGAACCTTTCCCTAAACAGTCTCCTGCTTGGAAATGCTTTATTTCAACTTCTATACTTTCACACCATTTACTCTTTCGTTCTTAGTAAGATTTAAAAATGTAGATTATTCCTGTAATTATACCCTCCCCTCAATCAACAAATAGTTATTGTATGCCATCTGGTAGCCATCTTTTTTTCTAGTTTTAAATATTATTTGTGGGGTTTGAAATTCTACCAGATCAAACTATTTGAGCAAACAGGAGTGAAAGATTAATGGAATAGTTTGATCATCATAGCGAGTGTTCTGAATAGGGCTGAAACAATTAATTGGATTATTTGTTAATAATCGATTATTGAAGTAATCGTCAATAATCGATTAATCGCAAACTGGAGTGTAGAGACCCTAAAACGTGGCTTCAGATGACAGAGCATCCCACTTAGAGAAATAATTGTGTCACAATTAAAATAATTATATATATATATATATATATATTTTGCATTTAAGATAAAAAACATTTTTATTTGTCAATATGCTCTATCCAGAACTCATCAAGAAGAAAAGTTTTAGTTTCAACTGGTTTAATTTCACAAAGGTCTTCTTTAAAGAACCTTTTGCTATCAGATTATTTGCTATCGAAAAAATAAACAACAGATTCATCGATTTGCAAAATATTTGTTAGTTGCAGCCCTAGTTATGAATTATCCTGATTAGGTGAACAGTATAGAATGTGTAGTGCTTTCAATATTTAGAAAATACTTAACTTAAAATTGGGATGATTCTAGGTAGCTTAGTCCGAAAAACTCTGATGTGAGGCTTCCAGCAGATCTTGCATCGAAAATAATCACAGCCAAGATGTATTTAATTTACTTGTTCCACCTCTACACCATCTATTGTGAATTTTACATCTATATATTCTTTATAATTTTTAAATAAACTTTGTTCAGATTTAAGGACAATTTGTTTTTGTTTTTTAAAGCATTTTTTAGCTTATTTGTCTCTGGGGTGATTAAGCTCACAGAAAATATGAGTATCATCTACAAAGAAAAAATTAAACCCTTTTGAAACCTTACAAAATGTAGTTTATGTAGAGAATAAACACTATGAGTCCCAGTGCTGTACCATGTGGGACATCAGAAGCAATTTCCAAGCATAATGACTGATTATCATCTGTTCTTGAATATTGTTGTCTGCTACTTCAACTCAGCTCCTCATCCACTCCAGAACCCCCACTCCTCCCCCTGTACACCATAATACTCTGATTTCCTGATATACTGGGATCAATTGTTTAAAATTATTTTTAATCAGCGAAAGGAACAACTGTAATTTTCTTTTTTTAATCTAGGGCGCTGCTGACTCCCTCTATTAATACCAGGACTGTCAAAGTTGCAAATCTCTAATCTAAATTCATACTGACTTTAGTTAGTTTGTGTTTATCTAAAAAGTTTTCCAGTCTGTTAATAAAGAGTTTTCTAAAATCTTGGAAAACTTGAAAAAAAGAAAGAGGCCTATGGTTTGTGAATTGTTGCCAATTTCTTGATTTGTGGAGCTGTATGACTTTCTGCAGTTTTAATTTTGTTTGGAAAGTTACCCGTTTGTCTGGCGGCACTGGATCTTTCATTTTTACATTTAACAGCTATGACTTTTCCTTCTTCCACTGCTTCTGGATTTTTTTTTTTATATGGTAACTTGTTGCAGCTCTGTTATCCAGGATCAGGTCTCTTCTCTGACAGTTTTGGGGTCACATACTAAACACCAGTTGATTTTTTTTTCAATCACTAAAGACATATAATCAAAACCTTCACTGTTGAGTATAAAATATTGATAATAATTTTTTGGGATATTTAATATATATTCCTTTTTTATATATATATATATATATATATATATATATATATATATATATATATATATATATATATATATATATATATATATATATATTTATGTTATTCCGATCTGATAGCTTTCTGCTTTTGCTCCATCAGATCAAAGCCAAAAAAAAACAGCAGACAATCAGGGCTCAAACATGAAAACATAAAGCAATGAGGCTGTGGGATGTCTTTGGGTCTAAGTGGAAAAGTTCAAACCAAGAGCAAATCCAGAGAATGAGACCTTCACCAAGTCAGACTGGTGAAATGGGATCATCTGGAACCACACAGCAACAGTTTGGTCTTATTCATTGGTAACTGATGCTGCTAAACCCAGATTATTTGTAAACTGGGAATGAATAGTAGCTTTATGTTGCGTGTCTAACTCGGGAGTACGCCACGTGAATCCAGACCATCCGGTCGGTTTGATGGGTGACAACAGTCAACTAGAGGAATCCAAGCACCATGGCAACAAACACAAACAAGGAGAAAGCATGTTTAATCGTGTGAATGAGGAGCTGACGAGCCAAAAGCAGGAGCAGCAGAGCAAGTCCCCATTATGGACGAGCAAACCTGCTGCGCTGTCTGAATGAATGGTTGCGTCATGTTTACATCTTTCCCGTTTTGCATTCAGGACATTCTTTCAGAGGGAGGATCAGCAGCAGAGAAACTCACCTTTAGCTTCTTGTTGAGCTTGCAGCAGTATCGGTACAACATTGCCAAGTTCAGAGGCCCAAAGTCTGCATAGAAACTGGAGAAACAGAAAAGAAGAATGGTTTAAAATAATCTGAGATCCTCAGATTGAAACAAGTAAGAAAACAGGAAGTACAGCTGAGTGCCAAAGAGAGAAAGTCTACCTTGAAATTCCAGAAATACTTCCTCTTATCTTAAGGTTTCATGATGCTGTGCTTCAGAATGATCTAAACATCCCCAACAGGTCCCTCCCAACTGGCTAGGCCTCTACACTCTCGACTGAAACTTCTGGTTGACAGTAAAATTAATTATTTTTCCCAAATAATTTATGACTTCTCCTTTTGTAGACCCCTTTTTTTCCATCTGATGGCATATCAGGCAAAGTTTTATTGTATTTTTTTAAATTAAGAAACTATTTTATGATATTCTTACAGAAGATGATCCAAAGCAATAGGAACACATGAAACATGAAACCTTCAGCAGAACAATAAATCTGTTTGAATATAAAATAAAGAAAAGATTTTGTTTTATGTTTAACCCTAACCTTTAAACGTCTCAAATTAAGTCAAATATTTTGGTCATGTGTTGACAGACTGTCTGTCTGATGATGAGGACATTTACCGTCAGGTCCGAATGATATACGGTACGCTCAGGTAAATATCCTTGTCCGCAAGTTTGGATTCTGTTCTGATAAAGTGAAACTGAACTTGTTCAGATCATATTGCACATCACTGTATACAGCGCATTTGTGGTGCAACTTTAAAAAAGCCAGTCTTCATAAGTTGAAGGTGGCTTAAAATGATGCACTAAGACTTTTGTCAAATAAGCCCAGATGGACCAGTGCCAGTTAATTGTTTGTATCTGTTAGTGTCAGGACTTTTGTGGCTGTTTTGAGAAAGCTTATGTATACATTTATTTGTCGTCTAAATGAGTCTAATAATATCATTATTTTACTGATGACCAATGTCAAATATAGTGCAGTTAAATACTCATCTGTGCTTTGGAGACATTGGTATAATTGCCTCCTGAAGGGTTAGGCACCTTCTCTGTTGTAATCTTATTCTTTGTGTATCTATTTTCTTTTAATGTATATTGGACCTTGAGTATGTAATAATAAATCAATCTTTGGCTACCAAAAACCATAAAACCAACTAAACAGATCCCTTTTACTGAACTTTAGGTCAGAAGGATCACAGCTTAACAGAAAAACTGCAGGGTCCAGTTAAACAGCAGCTTTACTCTCACATACGAGACTGATGTCAAATTTTACTGAGGGGGCAAAAAGTTGGATAAAGGAGGATCAAATACCCAAAGCTACCAAGTCTCCTGCTGTAACAAAAAATAAAAATAAAAATAAAAAAATAACTTGCTTCATATAAGAAAAAAAAAGATTTTTCATCCAAGTGTTTTGAATGAAAAAATAAAAAATAAAACCTGAAAATTAAACTCAGACCATTTCGTACCAATTGATTTTTTTTTCTCTCCCTTATGCTTTATAAAAAAATAACTTACTTTAAAAACCAGATTCACCATTTGATGATCTTTGATTTTAAACTACATTTAAAGTGCACCTAAATTCAAACTGTAAAGCATGCTTGTAAGATGAGTCTGCAGGCGCTGCCGCTGTAAACATTGGAAATAAGACAAAATATTTGCAGCTAGTGGTGTTACGTAATAAGGTAGGTGAACAGTTTTGAATACATACAACCAACAATAAGTGATGACGTGACGTTCCTCTGAACTACAGAAGCCCAAAAGTGGAATTTTGGCCTAGTGGTTAGAGCAGTGCGCTTGTGCTTTGAGAAGGTTGCAAGTACCAAATTTGATCCCCCTCAGCCTCCACTGTGGGTTCCTGATCAAAAGCCGAACCCCACACTGCTCCCCAGGCGCCACACAATGGTAGCCCACTGCTCCCCAAGGGGATGGGTTAAATGCAGATAATGAATTTCCCCATTGTGGGGATAGTTTCTGGGGGTATCTTTTTTAGACATAGAGGTTAAGACAAAAAAAAAAAGACAAAAAAAAAGAAAAAAGAAAAACTAGAAAAGCTGAATCTATCCCCACTGAACGCTTTAAGTTGGCTTGTCCCTACAAAGAAAGCTAGAGAGACTTGCAGCTAGATCCTCGAATGCAAATAAAAGTGAGCAATGCTGCAAAATTGGACTCTACAAAAATTGGACTCTACAAAAGCAAGCTTTCAAAAGTTGAAACATCTGCAAATTGCAAATAAAAATCAAAATTGCAACATTGGTTAATAATTGCAATTTCTACTTGTGCAAAATTGTGCGTGCCCTAATACCAACTCATCACCAGTTTAGACATCTTCCAGCAGTTATTATTGTATATGGGAAGAAGAAATTATTCTAAGCTTTCTGAAAGCTTAGAATAAGCAACAAAAAAGACAAATGGCGACTGGACTTCTGTGCTTTCATGGAGGTATTGCTTCAGCTTTGAACCCTAACACTAAAAGATGAAGAAGGGTGGGGCCAGTAACTCCAACCATGTTCAGATCTAAAGAAGCCTAACAAATAAAATTTGAAACATCTCTAAGTAGCAAGAGAACTAGTCCAGTTGCCTCTAATTGAAGCGATCAAGATTTTCATGTCCTGGACGACTAAAGATCAACACAAATGGTCTCCAAAATATGACAATTTGCTGCTCCTATAAGGGTTTTGTCTTGATTTTAATAAGAGATCAACTGATACAGAGTTACTAAGGTCATTACCGGTACATTCATTGATTTTTCTTCCTCCAATTCAATGATTGATTGATTGATTGTATTGATTTCACAGTGGAGAAATGTACTCATTACATCAGCTCAAATAGTCAAAGAAGATGAATGTGCCAAAGGAAGAAAAAGGTGCATGGGGATATATAAAGTATATATTTTTTTCTTTTTTTAAATAGTGAGATCATTATACAGGGTTATTTTAGAGGGTGTTTACGGGTATATATACACACACACCCACACACAGTTATTGTGCTGGATGTCAAATATAGAGAAACAGGTTATTACACAGGGTATCAAATAGTCAATTGCACATAATAAAAATGGCAAGGTGATAAAAATATTAGAAAAGCCTCAGTTTAAAAAGGATACCTCGATTAAAAAAATGACAAAACATTAACAATGACAGTAAATGTAGTGAGCAGCAACGCCCGCGCTTCATGTGATCTTTCGGTACAGCTGCTAAGTACACAGGGTGCAAATGTCAGTGTCTTGACGGATGCAGAAAAATTCAAATCTTCTTAAAAATGGAAACCAGAAGGAACAACACAAAGTATTCATCTTTTATAAACTGTGCTTTTAAATTAATTTGACTTTAAATAGAACCACCAGCATCAGATGTCATCACTGAAGACTTGGGTGCATCTAGTTATAAAACTCTACTAAATAAAAAAAGAATGTGCCATATCCTGCTCATGTACATTCTATAAATATTTTTTTGCATGTACAAACTATAAAAAAGTGACAAATTTTATATATATATATATATATATATATAAACAAACTGTTTCCTAAGAACCCTGACCACCTTGACTACTTTATTACAAATGTGTTTTTAGTGTACCGTTTAGCTGGAAAGAATGTTTTTTCCCTGTTAAATACAGCAGATGAAACTTACTTTTCATAGGTGAACTCATCATCGGTGCAGAAGTAGTGGGTGTTGGCGGTGCTTTTGGGTTTGCTGCGTAATGTGGCAAAGTAAAGCCGGTCTAAGGATAAATAAAACAGAAAACATATAAGGATATAATCTAATTAAATCATGAATTTCATTTTTTGTTTAAATAAGCAATCCAGCATGTAACTAGGAGGAGTTAGAAGAAGGTAAGTATAACTATTTTAGGGAGGTGGTTTTGTTGCTTATTTTCTCTTTTGTGATAAATAGCTGAGAAGTGTAAGAATATTCCTTCACTGGCTCAATGGGAGAGACTCTGCTGTTTTGATTGTCAATGCAGTTCCCAATCTGTATACAAACTCCCCTTTAAAAGAGATTGACCAATATCCATCCATCCATTCATATTTTTTTTTTTTTAAGGCCAATGCAGATTATATTAACATGTCTTATTTGGAACAATTTTTAAAGCCAATATTTTTTCTCCTACCCATTTACACGATAAAACACAATTCTAGCAAATGTTGCATAAGTCTAAATTTAAACAGAAAATAAAACGTTTTTAACAAATCAAAGAAAGATGTATTAATGTATAGTAAATGGAGAGAGTGGCAATGCATGTGCTTCAAATGATCTAAAGGTAAGGCTGCTGAATTTAATAGAGAATCTACAAACACATGCATGTATCAGCCTATACCGATACAAGAAAAACAACAAAAATCCCTCAACATTGCCAAAAACATTGGCCAGCCAATGTATTGGTCTGCTTAAAATGGTTTGAGCATTTGAGAGTCCAGCAGCAGGATGAGCAATTTCACATGATGATGCTTTTTGTTTTCTTCTCCACAACCTGACAGGCTGGCGTTACAAAGCTGATCAGGGTTCAGGCAGGAGAGGTTATAAAAACATCACCAATGTTACAATGACACGTTTCATTAATTGAATCATACAACCCTAATACCAGTTTCTACCACTAAACATGTTTGAACACATGTTCATAACCATTCTTTTTCTTTTGGAAGTTAGGAATAAAAATTAAATGAGAAATGTTAATAGAAATGAATTCCTTTGGCCATAGTGCCACATCATTATGTGAACTGTAATAGTTCATCAACTCAAAATATTCAAGTTAAAGTTCATCCAACAGGCGAGACTTCACTTCAGGAAAGCAGCACTTTAGATATGTTACATCCCATTAGATCGAAGAGCAAACACTGATTG